TCCCCCAACTAACAACGACCACAAAACAATTAAAAAAACCTAAATAAAAGTTAAAATCGAGAAAATAGTATAAATCACACGTTGCAGAAGGCTATTCTCGCACTCATTCGTTCGTCCACTCGCTCCTTCGTCGCTCGAGGCCAAATTTCGAATTCGTGCGAGAATATGTGGCCTTCTGCAACTTGTACTTTAATATACTATTCTATGGTATTTTTTGGAAACATAGAAAAACTATAGTCTGAAACACGTTTGGAATTGCATATTTCGCTCTCGTGAAACCGTCAAACTCGCCTTCGGCTCGTGTGACAAACTCTTCACTCGAGCGGAATATGCTGTATTCAAAACTTGTTACAGAATATACTATTACTACCAGATAAAACTTTTATGAAAGTATGCATTCCTTAATATTATTTCAATATTTAATTATACTGAAAAATATTAGGAAATACGTTCATCAAAGTTTATCTATTTTGCGTTCATAATGACTTCATTGTAACACCGCTTTCGGTGCTGTAATGAGGTACTTTACCCCAACAAAAATTTTGATTTTATAGGTTGGCTACTTTAAACAGCATACTAGTAAAATAATATTTTGTATATTGGTTATAATATTTTTATGATTTTTCTAGTACTTACGAGACTTTTCTCTCAATAAATTTTGTTTGACACCAAAGAAAATCTTCTTTAACATTAACAGACGCTTATTGTAAATAAGTAAATTAAGGACGCCATGGCGAATCGATTTTGACATTAACCCTTCAAACCAATGACTGTGATACCAACTATCTAAAGTAAAATTCGACCAAATAGGTATAAAATTAATTTTTTTATAGAATTTTTGTAAAATAGATAAAATAGCATAAAGAATCATGTCATATGACCTTTTGTCGCACGTGCGACAAAATGACGTCTTATGACATTAGTTCTTTAATATACTATTCCTTCTCCTGTAAAATTTGTTAAAATGCACATAGATGTTTTTTCAGGCGCAGCGACGTTATATTTATATTCAAATATTGTCGCGCTTTTATTAATCGACAGCCTGGGCTTTTTTGGACTCTAGGTGGTAAACGGTCATAATTTGGTTCAAATTTAAACGTAGTTAATTAGAACCGAACAATTGGGAAAATGGAATTATCTGCCATGTTTTAGGTTAAAAGTTGGTTATCTTTAGGCGAAAATAAAACCGTTCAAGGCGGAAATCCTTCAGACTTATTAGGTTTAAATTACGATCTAAATTTTGACTCGGGATACCTCTTATAATCGTTGGTTGCTTTTTGTTATTTTTTATAACAAGTTGTCACCCCTGCAAATGTTAGGAAAGTTTTAACCAGCCCATAGATAACAAAGCCTATCTGTAAATGATGACAACAGGGTTATTAACGTATTTACATGAGTGCTCGCATGAGTGTATACCGGGCTATCCACAACTCCCATGCCAAACTTTGTTGTCAATTAAAATAAACGCAAACAATAAATTAATCTTTTATAATACTTATATATCAACAGAATTTAAAACCGCGATATAAAATAATCACAATGCCGGTAACCTTATGGTTTATTAAATAGTTTAGTTTTGGCACGTTAACAGTCAAAAATACAAAGTACTTAAATAGTCAGTGAGCCAAGGTGGTTTTTAAAATATAAAATAAGGTGAATGTATATTAAATATTTCTAAAATCAGGTGATTGAATGCTTTTATTTTATCAATTATGTTGAGATAGTATTTATAAACCGATCGTTTTTAAAGTTCTTGTATAATTTTATTATCAAATTTAAAAAAATAGACCAATTTTTTTCTGGAGTTAATGCCTTGTTTTTTAATTAACTAATTTAATCTAAGTTTGATTTTCAAGTGCTTTTGTATGTTAATAAATTTTAACAATGATTTTTGCGGTTAATACTAAGTATACTTAGTTTACATATACGTTCTATTTTTAATAAAACATTATATTTTCTTTAAAATTGGTAAATGCACTTAGAATAGAATTTTATCACAAATTTTAAACTGGCAAATCATTTCTTTTTTAGGGTAACTTTCTGAAAATACTATGTTGTCAGTTCTTCTTGAATAAAATAAAGCTGTCTCTTTAAAATGGACATCTTTAATAGGTGAGCTTAAATTTAAAAATTAAATTTTAAATATACTATTGTACCTACTAATTTACAATAACTACAAATTATTTGGCTTAAATTATTAATTTTTATGATACGGGTATGGAAATAACTATGTTTGTTTTGTTTTTCAGATTGATGGTTTGCACATTATTTTTATTGCTACTAATTAAATTAGTGGAACCTCAAAAGATCGAATTCAATTGTTTAAACCCATCGAATAGTAATTTGAAAAATGACAAATATTTTGAATATTTTTTAATAATTATTGAAGATTGTCAAAATTTTAATTTATCAGATGTGATTTTTTCTAATTTTTCTGCTTTCACTTCATTGACATTTAGAAATGTTAACTTTACTAATTCAACAGATTTAGATTTTTCAGTTTTTTCAAACGTACAGGAATTAACAATTAAAAATACAAATTTACAGACAATTCCTAGAGGATTAAATCTTACACGTTTATACATGCTTGATAATATCATTGCATTTAATTTTTCTAATTATAATAAAATGGCATGGTTAAAGGGCGTTTACATAAATAACACTGCATTTGAAAGAAGCGAATTTTATTTTAAAAACCTAACAATTGAAATATTGAGTTTTACTTACATTAAAAACTTACAATTACAAAATTATTCATTTGCCTACATTAAAACATTATTATCAATTTCTTTAAAGGGCTGCAATTTAGTCAGCATACCAGAGACAATATTTAGGGGGTCAGAAAATCTTGGGGGTATTTCTTTAAACAATAATAAAATTAAAACATTATCAAATCACTTATTTTGCAATTTGACCAAGTTACATACGCTTTATTTACAAAATAATTCATTAGAAATTCTACCTAATGGTACTTTTAATTCTTTAAAAAACCTTATACTTCTTCACCTAGGAAATAACTTTTTAACAATTCTACCAGATAAAACTTTTGATTCTTTGGAAAACCTAAATCAACTTTACTTGGAAAATAATTTATTAAAAAGTTTACCGAGTGGAATTTTCAATTCCTTGAAAAAACTTAGCACCCTTAAGCTAGGAAATAATTGTTTAACAATTCTACCGGATAAAACTTTTAATTCTTTGAAAAACCTAAATAATCTTTACTTGAAAAATAATTTATTAAAAAGTTTACCAAGTGGAACTTTCAATTCATTAAAAAAACTTAGCATCCTTAACCTAGGAAATAATTCTTTAACAATTTTACCTAATGGGACTTTTGATGCTTTAAAAAATCTGAATGAACTTTACCTGGAAAATAATTTATTAACAAATTTACCCAGTGGAATTTTTAATTCTTTGGAAAACCTTGAAATCCTTCACTTAGAAAATAATTTATTAAAAAGTTTACCCAGTGAAATTTTTTATTCTTTGCAAAAACTTAAAATCCTCGACTTAAAAAATAATTCTTTAGCAATTCTACCTAATGGGACTTTTGATGCTTTAAAAAATCTGAATGAACTTTACCTGGAAAATAATTTATTAACAAATTTACCCATTGGAATTTTTCATTCTTTGGAAAACCTTGAAATCCTTTACCTAAGAAATAATTGTTTAAGAAATCTACCATATGGGACTTTTAAATCTCTGATATACCTGAAACGACTTGATTTGGGAAATAATTTTTTAAATTTTCAATATTCGCCCAAGGAATATATTTTTTCCGATTTGATACAATTAAAATATCTTAATTTGGAACATAATTTAATTAATAATTCAAATACTGAATTCAGTTTTCTTCATGAATTCAAATTTTTATTTGATATTAATGAAATTAATTTTTCCAATAATCAAAATTTTGATATTGACATATGTTATGTTTTTTACTATTTACCATTAAAAACATTAAATTTAAAAAATACCAGTTTTGCCTATTTATTTGATTATAATGATTATAAATATAAAAAGGAATGTAATTTAAGGATATGCAGAGATATCGATTTGTCCTACACTAAAATTAATGTAATTATTGTAAGTAGATATTTTTTGAAATCTTAAGTTTATTTAAGAACACTGTTTTAGATTCAACAACTTTTAACCATGGGATGTGACTTTTATAATTTTTCAAACAACAACATAGAAATCATTGACACCGATTTTAAACTTGATCATAATAAAAATATAGAGTTAGATATGGATAATACAACAATCTTGTGTAATTGGGAGAATTTTGATTTTATAATATATGATCCAAACATCAAAAACAAATTTAATATACTAAATTATGAAACAATAAGGTGTTCCAATAACGAAATTATGGTTAATTGGGCAAAAAATAAAGAAAATATATATTACCCCATGTCCTCTGTAATGGATGAAGGATACAATTGTACTGATAAATGCAAATGTTTTTGGTACCCGATTATTTCAACGTTTGTGGTGGATTGCTCAAATAAAAAACTAAAGAAAATTCCAAGATTTTTGGCTCCAAATTATATTCCTAAAAAAGGTAAACAAATGGAAGTAAAACATGTAAAGGTCGACTTGCGAAACAATAACCTAGTTAGAGGGCCTTCTCAAGATGATGGATATGATAATGTAACTGTTTTAATATTGTCTGGGAATAAAATAGAATATATTTTATGGATACCACCCAAAATACAAGTATGTACATCCATAATATGTAAATTAAAGAAATAACAAATAATATAATCAAACACTTTAGGATCTATATTTGGACCACAATAATATTTCATTTTTAAATGAACAAATAATTGATTCATTACGTGGATCTTCCTTAAAGTCTATTAAACTTGGGGAAAATCCATTTATATGTGATTGTACAACTGTAACACTAAAACGATATTTAGTAGGTAATAGTCAGGTAACTTTTCAAATATTCATTGTAAAAAAAATTTTGTGGGTATAATAAAAAAAAATTTTAGGTGGTTGACAAGCAAAATGTTAAATGTGATGGTACCAATATACAGATTATTCATGCCGATAATATTTGCACATTTCCTTGGGTTATAATATTAGTATTAGTATTTTTTTTGTTTATAATATCCTCTTTCTTGGCAAGTTACTACAAATGGAAAACGTACATCAAAATGTGGCTGTATTACAAAGGATGGTTGTTATGGTTTGTCACGGAAGAAGAATTGGACAAAGACAAGGTTTATGATGTTTTCCTTAGCTTCTCCCAAAAAGACGATGATTTCGTTCTTAGAACCTTACTGCCCGAACTTGAATCAGGACCCAATCCTTACAAAGTTTGCGTGCACTACAGAGACTGGATACCTGGAGTACTTATAACCGAGCAAGTCATCACTTCGGTAAGAGATTCACGAAGAACTCTCGTGATAGTTTCGAAAAATTTCTTGGAGAGCTGCTGGACGAAAATGGAATTCCGAACCGCTTACACACAGGCGCTGACCGAAGGAAGAACCAGAGTCATAGTTCTTGTGTATGGGGAAGTGGACATGACGCAGATTGATGGAGATTTAAGCGTGTATATGAAAATGACTACGTACATTAACTGGGAAGATCCTTGGTTCTGGAAGAAGATGTTGTACGCGTTGCCACATAAAAATAGAAATAATCAAATTAGAACCACCACTGTATAAATTTAATTTGTTTTTTCGCTTATTATAATAATTTTTAATTAAAATGTATAAATATTGTTTAATGTACTTTAAAATTAATTTAATATACAAGATTAGTTTTACAAAAACTGGTTTATTTGTCGGATGTCTCATTTTAATTTGGTAATGCGTGGAGACATAAATTGGTCATCGAGATTGTCTGATCTGATGTCCTGCAAGTTTTTCTGTGAGGTTTTCTAAAGCTGCGCGTCCACTCTAACAATGGTATATGGGGCGGGAAGTAACATAATATGTTATTATGTAGCTTTCTTTTTTTTATTTTTTGACAAGTTCCAAAATGACAGGTGTCATAATAAAATATACACTTTCTCAAACCTGCCATCACAAATTGCCCACAAATTTTATTGTTGATTTGCTCGCGAACCGAACATCTGATTTTGATGATCTCCAAAATTTGTGATACCCTGTGGGGTTCAATAGATCAGATGAGAATTCACTGAGAAATAAACATTAAATTTTTTGTAAATTTTTAGTGGCCGGTGTTTTTGCCTTTTACTGTATGTTCTATACTAAAAAAACAGTTAGACAATCTTTCTAAATGTTTGTAATTGTCTTTTAAGTAGACTTAATTACAACCTGCCTTAAATGAAAGTTGCAAAAAACTAAACTTTTTTTATTAAAAAAATAAATAGTTAGGATCAGTTTACCCCGATCAGCCAGGGCTTAAAATACGTAGATTTACCAACAGTTTTTATGGATTTTTATCAACATTTCAAAACATGACATACAAAATGTAAAGGTAAAACCGTCGCCGATTTGGCATGAAAGCCGCATATACTTCAAGCTATATTTTGAATTATAATGATTAAAAAAATGGTCGAAGTCATTAAGATTCTGATTTGAAATGTTTACTTCTGGTTTTCTACAAAATAAATAAATTTCGAACCTGATTTCATAATTAAAAAAAACAGACATTTTTCGATCACATTTAAAACAAAGCACAGTATTAGTTAAAGGTGGTAAAAAAGACAATTCCATACTTTTGGAATAATGTTTTAGAATGACACCAAAAATATAGAAAATATTTGCGAACTGAAAAAAAGTCCCTAAATAATATTATTTATAATTAATAAAATAAATCGCGCGAGTCAAAACTTATATTTACAGTAATTTTGGCTTGTACGACCCAAGTCGTAGGAATTCACCAAAAAAATCCAGTAAACAAAATTAACACCCATCAACCATTACAAAAATGCACGTTTTCTTATCTTTAGGTTAAGTTAATTTTTGGTATTAGTCAACTTCCTCCAAGTTGATTTAACTGGGGGGAAATTCACTTTTTGGCTTGCTATATTTACTTTTTGGATACAGCAATAACTGTTTGTTTTGTTTTTAGATTAACGACTTGCATAATATTTTTATTACTGCTGGTCGAATACAATTTTACAGACAATTTCTACAGGATTACAAAATCTTCAATATTTAGAAATAATATCAAATATTATTATTTGCTATTTCTGATTTTGATGAAATGAAAAACCTGAGGCAAATTTCTATAAGTAGATAACGCTGTGTTTAAATTGAATTTCAAAAACCTACCATTTGGATTTAGTAATATTAGAAACTTACAATTACAAAATTACTCATCTAGCTTAAATGAAAATTCATTACCAATTGAATTAGTTTGCTGTAATTTAGACATTCTGGTTTTAGTTTTAGTTTTTTTTTAATAAAACAACAGATTTGTATTTATTTAATATTAAATATATGTTGGAAACAAATCTCCCGAGTCAAAATTAAGATCGTAATTTAAACCTTAAATCTGACAATTTCCGTCTTAAACGGTTTTATATTCGCCTAAAGATAACCAACTTATGACCTAAAACATGGCAGATAAGTCAATTTTCCCGATTTTTCGGTTCTAATTACGTTTAAATTTAAACCAAAAATTTTATTAGGGGTTTAAATCGGTTTAAATTAAGATTAATTCGGTTGTTCTAGTGCTAAATTGGAGTAAACAGACTGAACAGGTTTTAAATCAGTTTTGGTAGGTCAAAGTAGGTTTAAATTACGATTTAAATTTTGACTCGGGCTTAATCTTTAAGTTTGACGATTATACATTGCTTTCCCGAGTCAAAATTTAAATCGTAATTTAAACCTACTTTGACCTACCAAAACTGATTTAAAACCTGTTCAGTCTGTTTACTCCAATTTAGCACTAGAACAACCGAATTAATCTTCATTTGAACCGATTTAAACCGATTTAAACCGATTTAAACCTCTAATAAAATTTTTGGTTTAAATTTAAACGTAATTAGAACCGAAAAATCGGGAAAATTGACTTATCTGCCATGTTTTAGGTCATAAGTTGGTTATCTTTAGGCGAATATAAAACCGTTTAAGACGGAAATTGTCAGACTTAAGGTTTAAATTACGATCTTAATTTTGACTCGGGTATTTTGTATCAAAAAACCTGTGACGGGTGAGTTGACGCCGTCAACTTGACGGTATCTATGGTTACCACGTAATTCGTCATTGTTCAAAATTTAATGTCGTCAATTTTTCAGGTTGTTAAACAATTTGTTGAATAATTAAGTGTTTTGGAAACAAAATTATTAAACGTTTTTAAAATTTAAAAGTAATATATTATTGTATACAAACTGTATTTGCTAATTTTGAAAAAAAATCAAGAAAGCTGTATAATGTCGACTAGATGAAGCACTAGCTCATTGAAGACAATAAAATATAAAATTTATTTTATGAAATATTTTAATAACAATTTAATAAACCAACAATATTTTAATGAACAATTTTTATTTATAATTTATTACAAAATGTTCAGTGTCCTCCATTTACATTTAAGCATTTCTTAATTCTTATAAAAAGAGCAACGTCTAATGTAGAAAGTATACTTTCTAGTATACTTTCTAGTATACTAGTATATATACTTTATACATTAGACCTTGCTCTTCTTGACTTTTCTGGGTCTAATATTAGTCTAAAATTATTAAATTTATTTATAGGGAATAATTACATCAATCAAAATGTTTTTTAATTTTGTATTTGATTATGTAAAAACACGCAGTGTTTCATTTAAAATAAAAATGTTATTAACTTTTTAAGTTAGCCTAATTTGCCCTGGGTTTTCTTGGGTAATTTGTTAATTTTTTTTTAAAGAATAAGTTCCACCCCCATGTCTGCAAGCCTAATAGCAAAAAAGTTATAGGCTATTTTTGATTGACGCGCATTTGTCAAATTTTAACGAAAAAAATTAATAACACGAAAACCATTCACTTTAGGTATAGGACATGGTACAAAAAATTTTATGTGGAATTTTGAAAATGTAAAAATATATGGGGTTTTCTTTTTAAAATAACAAACATGATCCGGTCAAACCAGAAGTGGCATTTTGTTTAAAATATTTTAGAAAAATAGGCGATTTTTTCCGTTCCTAAGAAACTTTTAATGGACCACGAACGTGAAACACTCATATTTCGTAAATGTGCAACACCCTGTATATAATTAAAATAATTTTAAAATAAATTGAAATTTTTGATTCTTTTAAAAACCTTGAAATTTTGTGATTTTATAAACTGGTTTTATTTTAAAAGCTGTTTCATTTGTACTCATTTTAAAGGCAACTTGAAGTTTAATTTTTAAAAATTTAATGATTCCGTCATTTTGGTAACAAAAAATTCATCTGCACTTATTATAACCAATGCTTAAACTTAACGCTACACAACAGTATTAAAAGGTTAGAGCCTTGTGTATTAACTAACGATATAGCTTGGCAATAAAAAACATCAAAGGCGGAAAGAACACAAGATCGCTGTATTCAAAAACAAAGTAAATAAAACGCATAAAATATAGGCAACGTTCTGGCGCGAGGGCAAAGATTTAATATTCCGAAGCCGAGGTTTAGCCCAGAGAATAATCCCGCGGGATACACAAATATGCAATATTACCAACATAAATTGATTTCGGATCTGAAGTCCCTATCATGCACGCAGTTCGCTCATAAACACGTTTGGAAATATTGACTCGCCCCGGTGTAAATTTCGGTGTTGAGAGGGCGCAGGAAAGTTCCCTGATTTTCTTATTATTTACTGCACGGGCGTTCAATATTTTTTGACGGAAATGGGGAGAATATTACCTTGAGACTCCTGCCAATAACTGGGTGAACAGAAATTTGCAGGATCTTATAAATTGTTTAAATTTAATTTTATAAGCATTGTCTGGATTTTACTGTTTGTAAATAGTTATTTGTTTTACAAGTGTTGAAAAGCAACTTTTTCATGCAAGTGTTTAAGTTGCATTAACACGAGCTTGAAGAAAGCTTTTCTCACATGTGAAACACCATATTTTTTCTACGACTCTTTTATTTTTTATTATTTTCAAATACAAAACAAAATAACCTAAAAACGTGTTTGACAGCTGTTAAAATTACTTTCATCTTATTCTTTTAATTTTTAAGGTAGGTACCTATAAGTTACTTAAAATAAAAGGCATTAAAAATTAGAATTTAGTATACAAACAAACTTAACTAAATGATATTTAGACAAACATACAAATACAATACAAATTTTGAAACGAATGTCAAACGATGCTGTCAATTTATTTTCACACAGACCTGTCACTTTTCAAACAGAAATTTCACTTTACATTTGTGTTTTGCATTGCCAATGAAAAGATTTTCTAAGCAACGATGCCATTACGAAATGTGACTTTTACATAGTGGTCGTATACGATAGAAAAAATTATTTAACCACTACAAGGAAAATCATCATCTCACGTTAATAACTGATAACTGAAAAGGAGGAAGATGAGAATAAATATAAAAATATAAGAAATAATGCAACAAGTTTAATAAGAAAAAATAAGGAAGAATATTTTAATTAGATACTAGATGAGAACAAAACCAATAGTAGAGAGTTGTAGAAAAATCTAAAAATTCAATAAAGAATACAAATATGTATACATATGAAAGAAATATATGTTTGTTATAGCAATGTATGTGGTAGTCCATATATGAAACATAAAATATATTTGCCTTAACCATATTATGTTAA